AATTAAGGTGGGAAATATTTCCTCACTCACTCTCCATGATGAACACTCCCTATGCCTTGGCTTGTGGTTCTAGGATAGCAAATAGCATGACTGGTCCTGTTCTTCATCTCCAGGGTCATGAAATTATGGTGTTCCTTTCCAGTAAGCCACGTCCTCCCTCAAAAACTCTGAGGGCACAAGGATCTCATTCTCTGTGGGATGGGCTACCCCCTTCTAGTGGCAAGAATGTACCCACAATGGTACTTTTCTCTGTGATATTGTCATTGCATACCTTAACTGAATTTTTCCCAGGTACAATTACAGTTAGTTACATCTACGGTGTGTTGGTGTTTAGTACTTCTGAGCTGTGTCTGTTTCTTCATGACACCTGTAGTCATTTTCTTGACAAAGATACTGGAGTGGTTTACCATTTCCTTTTCCAGTTCATTTTACAAATGAGGAAACTGAGGCAACAGGGTTAAGTGACTTGTCCAGTGTCACATAGCAAGTAAGTGTCTGAGACCAGATATGAATTCAGGTCTTCCTGACTTCAGGCCTAGCTCTCTCTACTGCACCACCTAGCAGCCCACAGCTCAGGTGTATGTATGTATGTATGTATGTATGTATGTATGTATGCACGTATGTATGTATGTATATTATATATGTGTATGTATGTACATATGTGATCTTTACCTCTTTGTGTTCATTTTTCCATTCTGACACCTCTGTGGCCTCTCATTCTCTTCAGAACTCCTACATAATTGACACAAATTGACTTGATAGAGAAACCATAATAAATACTTCAATCCAGAATAAAATAAGTGAAAAAGGAAGAGAATATAACACAAAATGTTTGCTTAAAAATCCAAATTTAATTAACATATAAAGGGTTTTAAGATACAACTTCAATAGCATATGCTTTACATGCATTTTTCCTTAATAATTTCTCATTATTGAAATATCACTTCTAGGTTTTGTAGTCACATACATGTAATATTTGAGGGGGAAAAAGCCTTCAAACAAGGAGGAACAATTGACACATTCATGAAATAGGATCCTATTTCTAGTTCTATTGTGAAAGATAATCCCGTTTTTCCTTACATAGCAACCAACTTTGACCTTGGGAACTTTGACTCTGTGAAAAGACTGAACAATTTGGATCCCTCCTGACATAAAACTAATGAAGTTTACAACTATTTTTAAAATCCAGACTCATTATTCTTAATTGACAATTGCTAATAAGCCTATGGAAGATGATCAGGGTTATTTCAATTAACCAATTAGTTAAATTTGACCCTAGAAATATAAGCAAGACCCTAATTGATGACGAATTTGCAAACTGATCTTTCTTGCTGGTAACATTGGCTGTTGACCTTTAATCAAGACATATATCCTTTAGCCACTAGTAAATATACTGTAATTATGTCCATGCATTCTCATTCTCACTTTCTCCCTCATCACATTAGCTTTGGTTTAGAATTGGCACAAAAAATCTACTCAGCAACTACAAGTACAATATAAACTGAATAATACAGCTTTTCCTCTAATCTCATTGAGTTTAAATCCCAATACTTCACGAATATACTTTCCTGAATTATTTCAATACTGTAGAGTAAAATACTTGTATATCTAAACTACCACTCTCTTTTAGTTCAAATGATCCAGAGTGAATTTATACAGAAGAGAATTTTGTTAGAAATTGATTTCAATTCAACATAAATTTATAAAGTACTTTCTATGCTCCAGGGTCTTATTGTTTAAATTAAATACAGCACTCCATTATTAATTAAATGAGGAAACTGAACGATTTCACATATTCTCTTGAGTTGAGTGGTTTCATTATTTTGTTTGAAGTGTTGTAAAAGTTCCCAAAACATCAAGCATATTCACATTGAAATATAAAACAAAAATTAATTTCAAAAGGCAAATATAAAATACTTATATATCTGAATTACCATTTTGTTTATTAGTTCAACTGATCTAGAGCTGACTTTGCATAGAATAGAATTTTGTTAAAAATTGATTCTAATGCAACATATATTTATTATTTTTTTATGCTCCAGGTACTGGGAATACAAAGGTTAAAAAAAAAAAGATAGCTTCTTGTTATCCAGTGGAATCCTTTATAGATTTGGTGAATGAGAAGGGAGGAGAGAAAGAATGTGAATATTGCCCCATGGGCTATTATCACCTAAGGTGATATTTCAGGGACCAGACTGGACCCACCTTTATTCAAACCCCAATAACAACTAAATGAATTCTAAAGGGACTCTACCATGTATGTGTCTGCATTTACATGTCTAGGTTTTAAGCATAGTCCAAATGTCATTGTGTTTTTATTTGATTTCTTCTGTTCAGTATGTCTCCATATATATTTGTATATGTTTGAGTAATCATGTCTCTTTTGTATTTTTATACCCAGTTGATTATACCCATGATTAGTGTGTCTTCATCTGTATTACTTTATGCATTTTTGTATCTCTTTGTATAGAGAATGTAAGCTCCTTGAGGTCAGGGATTCTACTTTTTGTCTTTTTATCCGCACAGTCTACCACAGTGCTTTAGTCCGCAGCAGGCACTTAGTAAATGTAGGTTGGATTAAATAGAATAAGAATGTGTGGAGGAACATAGCCAGAAATGGTTTCTGAAAATGGATTTGGAAAAGTAACAAAGAAAGTATATGTATACATATATGTGTGTATGGATGTATGGATATGTGTATGTATGTATATATAGATGGATGTATATGTATATTTGTGTATGTGTGCATGTGTGTATACATATACTTCTGTACATACACAAACATGTATATGTATGTATGATATATGATATACTTTATAAAATTATGTGTATATGATGAGCATACTTTTTCTTAGACCAAATGGCCAGTTCAGGCCCCTTATTTCTCTTCTCTTGTTTCTTTGGCTACTTCTTATCTTTTGGGCGTCTTGGTGTTGACATTAAAATCAATACCAGATGGGAGACTGGGACAGGAAGAGGCAAAACATGAAAGCAATATTGGAGAGCTGTTCTTCCTTCTAGGATGAGGGATGGGAAAAGTATTACATCTTATGACTAAAATAAAGTTTGGAATTTTATCTAGGATCATAAATCTAGAGCTTAAGGAATCTGAAAGATGCCTTCAGATTTGGAAACTGAAGGCCAGAGAGGTTAGGTGACATTGAGCATCACACAGCTACTAAGTGGAAGAAGGGAGATTCATACTCAGCTTCTTTTGTCTCTAACTCCACCACACTTTCCACTGAAACATACTGCCTCACTTAAAGCCATTGCTGGCCATTATTGCAAATGACTGGGAGGGGGTTCTGCATATATATACATGTGTAAGTCTTTATCTTGTGCTTCAAGTTACACAAAGGTTGTCCCCATTGCTTCCACGATACATGTAAAAGGAGAGACAATTGGTCCAGGAAAACACCCCAACCAATCCATAGTAATAATAGTATCAACTATATACCTCTAATCATGTAATGTCTAATTGGAAACATATCACATATCAAAACATACGGTGATAAGGAATTAGCATTATTTTCATGAGCTAGACCTTAAAGCCTTCTATAGACTCACACAAATGATTATTAGATTGTTACCAAACTTGAAAAAAAATCACTTCCGTTAATTTGAAATCTAATTCTTGAATTTAAGATCATAGATTCAGAGATGAAAGGGACCTCCAAAGTCCTCTAGTGCAATCATGCAATTAGTGGTTGAGGAAACTGAGACCTAGAGATGTAAGGGAGTTACCTGATGTCATACAGGTAGTAAGTGGCAAAACTGGGCCACTAAGTCCAAATCCAACACTCATTCTACCGCACCACACGGCCTCTCAGAATTCTATGTTACAAAAATTTCTTCAGCATCTTACTATTGCCCACTGCCTTACTTCATGATAGTAAGCCCCAATCTTGCTTATATCTCTTATTCAACATTCAAAGGGCAGTGACATTTATTAAGTGCCTACTATGTACAAAGCAGAGAGGTAGCTGGTTTCATGGATAAAGAGCTGACCTAGAAGTCAGGAAGACTTAGATTGAAGTCTTATCTTGGACACATACTGGCTAATGTGACCCTGGGTAAGTCACTTAAACTCTTAAAGTACCAGGCAACTTTCTAAGACTATAAGCTGCAGAGTAGATGCTAATCAAAAAGGTACTATGCTAGGTATTGGGGGATACAGACACAAACTTTTAAAAGTCTCTGCCCTCAAGAATCTTATGTTCTACATGTATATAGATTTTTTTTAAAAAAACCTGATGATATTTAAGCAGTAATTGAGACATTTATTATTTAAATAGTTAAGCTTTGAACACACTCACTTGTGCAATTAAATTTGCTTTTCACATTGATGTTAGTTTAATAAAAGAAAAGTCAATTGCCATTGGACATGACCACATACGTTACCTGACTTGAATGATATATAAATAAAACATGGAGATTTCCAAAGTTATGAAAATGTAATCCACATATTATCTCAATATTCCCACTGCTTTTCACAGAAGATAATTTCCAATTGATTGTCATTGATTTTGTTACATATAATACAACAACAATAACAACATATAATAAAAGTCCACTGTAGGACTTGCTGTTGGGAAGATAAGTCTGTGTTAATGAAAAGTTTCATGGACATCTGTAATAAAATGAGTATGTGTTTGAAAATAATAAAACTCTAATTTTCTAACTCTAAACTGCTCATAAGACTTTTCCAGGGGGTCCTACGGGTTACTGTTTTAAAGAATAAATAAAGCTCCATTTAGAAATAGCATCCATCAGATTGCAAATAATTGAATGGTTCACAAGTTTAAAAAAGTATTTCCCCAAGAAGGTTAAATATTTCATCTAAATCCTTGTTTACTATTAGTTTTGCTTAGCAAATCCTTAGATAATCCTTATCTGGAGCATTCTTTACCCATACTCCATATCTAGAAGAGAATAGGAATGGGAATTGCCAGAATGAGGTCTCGCTGCACTACTATTAAAAGTCACGGAACATTTTCAATCTAAAAGGAAGTTGTTTCATTGGTGGTGAACGCAGTTAAGTAGTTGAAGTAAAAATAAGAAAGGGTCACTAGAATGTTTTTTAAAAGACCTATGATGGGAGTGATTGTCCCCAAATCAGCAATCAAACTAATTCGAACAACCATAAAAGGGAAATCCTGTAAAAAGACACCTAAGGATCCCACGAGACTATTTTGTGGTGCGACTATGATTCGAAGAAGAGAGATATAGGTAAATATGTAAACAGGATATAACCACCCTGACTTAAACACCACAGAGTGCCCAGATACTCGCAGCATCTCAATGGTGTCAGACCACGTGATGAAACTACTCAGAAAAATCTCTGCACGCTTGTCTTGCTGGGACATGGCTCTCAAGGTTCCAGAGCCAAAGGAAGACCTGTTTGCTGGTTGGGGGACTGTGTGGTTTTCCTCACTTGGCTTCTCCTGCTCAGTCACGGTTTTCACTTGCTGCAAATTAGTTTTATGGATACTTGAATCTTCATTTTCTGAAATAAATCAAATATTTAACAGAGTCAATAAAAAAGTGATAATGTTTTAAGGTGGAATGTTAACATAACTATCAGGACACAGATCTAGAGATGACTATTAACTTATCAATGACATGATTTCAATGTAATATCAAAATAATCAAACAAACATTTCTTAAGGACCTATTGTACGTAGAGCACTAGGGGAAATCAAAAACTTAGATAAGACATAGACTTTGACTCTCAGGTTACTAAAACTGAGATGCTGTAGACAGTCCAAAAAGGGGATAAAACTCAAGTAAGAACAGCTATAATGTACAATGAAGGTGACAAACCTTGGGTTCATGAGCAACATGTGACCCACAATACTCCTGAGAGCTGCCCAAATCAGATTAAAATGCAATTGTGAAATATTTTACAAAAGAAATCAAAATACAATAGATAATGTTAATATGTGGTTTTCTAAATCAATACACAGCCTGCAAGTATCCTTATGTACAGTTTAGTGACCACCATTTTTATTTGAGTTTGGCACCACTGATGTACAAGGTTATACAATAAGTGTGTCATTGAGGTGTTATGGAGGGGACAAAGGGGAAAGGTTGTTGTTGACAAGGTGAAGGGAGAGGGTTAAAGGAGGGGAAGAAAGGGAAGACTTTATAAAAGAGGTAGCATTTAAGTTGAGATACAAAGAAGGAAAAGGAATCCCAAAGGCAAAGAGCTGGAGGAAAAATATTCCATACAGGGGATACCATGAGTAAAGACACAGAAGCAGGAAGATAAATTAACAGAAAGAGCGTAGCTAATTTAATATTTATTGTGCATAAAAGGGAGCATTAAGTCTAGCTCGTTAGATATAGTCTGGAAGAAGGCTTTGAAGGAGAGGCAAGGAAGTTTTAGAATTTTGCTCAAGGAACAAGAAAGAACTAATGAAGATCATTGAACAGAAAAGTAGCATCATATCTCGGCACAAATATGGGGTGACTTAAAGTTTGTTGCCAGAACATATGAAGGAAGTATTAAGGGACGGAGGATTGAAATGGAATGTGAGGCCCCTAAACAGCTCTACCCAAGGATACTTTGCTTTCTCCCTCCCATTCTTTTGCACAGGAGATCAAAAAGAATCTTGGGCTGATAAAAAAACTGGGGTACTTCAGACCCAGAGTCTTTGGCAGTTTGTTGAAAAGGAAGCCCCTTAAAATAATTCCAAAGTGATGTAGTTTGGAAATTGGAAATTACACATGAGTTACAAGGATTTTCTAACCTTGAGTCAGGTAAAGGCTTAGACCAGAGACTTTGGTCTAAGTGATAAAGAGGAGATTAAAAAGACAGACTTAAGGTGTGTATGTACTACTTAGCTGGTTGCCTGTTCTATGTTTCAAAAGAGCTGATTCCATGGAGACAACATTCTTCTTTTGAAGACGAAAAGCCTGTAATAGTCAAAGTTATGAAAACAAGGGGGAAAAAAGTAGCTAATGGCTTTTCCTTATACAGATACTGTATTTTGAAGGGCATGCTTCCCCTACAAGAATAGAAGCTTGTCTTTGGGACTTAAATTGAAAGAGTGGTCAAAGAGCCCATTCTTTCTTTTACGGGAGAGAGGTAGCACCTCCGCTAATGACTCCAGCTGAATCCAAAGGCAGAAAGCAGAGAGAAGTTGTGCATCATGCCCAGTATAAAACATACCTGGAAAGAACTAGAAACAACCATGTGACAAATCACGTAGCATTTACTAGTGACTAGTCAACTGGCAATTGAGTGTTTACTTTGTACCAAGAATTGTGTGCTAAACACAAAGAAATCCAAAAACACTGTCCCTGTTTTCAAGAAGCTCACATTTTAGTGAGGGTCCACGCAGAGTCTTAGGGAATACACATTGTCAGCAACTATGACTTCGATGAAGATCTAGCAAAGAAAACTGAGGAGTAAATATTTGATTTATTTCAGAAAATGAAGACATGCATATCCATATAACTTATTTGAGAAGGAATAGTCAGACAGATAGGAGGAGAACCAGCGGAGAACAGAGTCTTTAAAACCTAGAGTGAAAAATGTATCAAGGAGAAGAGGATTGTTGACAGTATCAAAGACTGCAGAGAGGTCAAGAAAGATGAAGATTGAGAAAAAGTCATTAAATTCTATAATTAAGACTGTTGGGAATTTTGGAGAGAATAGTTTCAGTTGAATAATGAGGCTGGAAGCCAGACTGCATAGAGTTTAAAAGATAGGGAGAGGCAAGAAAATGGAAGCACTAATTGGAGACAGCCTTAGTCATGAAAGGGAGGAGAGCTATAGGACAATAGTGAGGGGGGTGTTGAGGATGGAGAAGATATAGATAATTTTATAGGCAGCAGAGAAGCAACCAGTATATAGGGAGAGACTTAAAATTAGTGGGAGCATAGGGAGGTAAAGGATTGGAGAAGACAAGATAGAATGGTATCACTTATGCATGGAAGGGGGTTTGCCTTGGCAAATAGAAGGGCCACCCCTTCATGTGATACATGGGGCAAAGGAGGAATAAGTAGGGAGAAGGCATCTGAGTGATGTGAAATGAGGAAGAAGAGAAAAGAGGAAGTACTTGGTGAATCGTCTCAATTTTTTCAGTAAAATGTGAGGCAAGGTTGTCAGCTGAATGGGTGGTGAGGGAGGGAGACCATGGAAGGTTTGAGGAGGGATGAAAAGATTTGGAAGAGACACTGAGACAAATGAAATAGTGACTCTAATGAGGGAGAATAAAAGAATTCCCTTACTACAGTGAGGATCTAGGGGAGATTTAGACATAAATTTGTAGTGGACCCAATTGGCATGGTTTCATGATTTTCTCTAGCTTCATTCAGCAGCATGTGAATAGGAACAAAGGCACCAGATGGTGAGAGGAAACTGAGACTGGTGGTAGGCAGAAAAAGATCTTTAATAGGATAATAGGACAAAGGACTTGATAGCATATAGTTGAATTGGTCTATCAAGGGGTTAAGATGCAGAAGGGAGAATATAGTCAATGCAGTGGTGATGGCATGGGAAAGAACTGAAGGGTTGAGGGGCTAGAAGTCATGGTGGAGATAAAGAACAGGACTATGGGTCATATAGAAAAGGGAAAGGTAGAATCACAAAGATTATGATCAGGAAAAAAATGAATTCCAGAGTTCATGAACATGGAAGTGGAAAACTTGTGGGTAAATAGAGTTCAAGGATATTTCTGTGTGTAACTGGACTGGGAAAGAGGAGTAGATAATGGGAAATGAAGGAATTGAAAAACTGGGATGTTAGGACGTTTAAGGGAATATTGATATGTGTTGAGGTCCCTTGATGTGAGGCAGGGGTTGGGGAAAGAGAGAAAGACTGTAAACCAGGTACCAAATTCATTCAGAAAGGAAGGAGAGTGTCCAGAAGGTCTGTAGATAATAGCTACCAGAATTTTGATTCGGTGATAAATATGGATTGAATGAATCCCAAAGGAGAAGAGTTTATTAAGTGATGGAGAAGGAGGGAGAGCCTGAACACGGCAATGGGGAACAAGGAGTATTCCAACATTCCCACCATTACTAGTAAGTCTAGGGTATGACTTCATACTCTCATACTAATGCAATTAGTGCTGGAAAGAGGGATCAGAGATTCCATGTCGTCAAGAGGGAATCAGTAAGATCACCAAAACAGCTTTTAATACATTTTTCTTTCATTTATTCATTCATTAAATCAATTATTCATGAGACTTGGTATCTCTGAAGCCAAGAAAGGAAAGTCTATCCAGGAGGAGAGGCTGGTCAAAAATGTTCGCAGAAAGTGCACAGATCACATGGCTTAGAGCTGGAATTTAAAGCTGAGAAATCCTATAGTCCGACCTCTTTATTTGAGGTGACTGAGGCCCAGAGAGGTGAAGGACTCAGGAGAATGTGAGCAGCTTGAAGCCAAACAATATCTTCATTTCTCTCTGTGCCTTCAGCATCATGCAAATAGTAAATTAGTAAATACCTGTTGAATTGAATGGAATGCGATCCAAAATAAGGCCTCTTGGTTGTGGTTGCTGGAACAGATTCAAACTCTAGATATCATGTTGCCAGTTCTTTACAGTAATATGTCCCCCATATTCTTAGTGGCGGTTTTCATCCAGGAATCATTTGTACCAATTTTCTCATTTTATTGTATACGTGTGTGTGCACATATACACATATGTATATGTATGTACATGTATGCGTGTATATAACATACACATGTTATGTGTGTGTATACAATGTACATATATAATCTAATATTATATAGATTATATATAGATAAGAAAACTTAAACCAAGAGAGGTTAAGTCACTTGCCAAATGTCACCTAGCTAGTTTATACTGGGACTACTGTGCCTGACTCCCATTCCAGAGCTCTCTACCACATTCTATAAATGACAAATATTTGAATATTAAATTAAGATGAATTTGGCAACCATATATATGTGATGAATACCCTGAGGAAAAATACCCCCAAGTTGTCCTTTCTTTATTAATTACGGGATTAGAGGGCAAAGGGCCCTGTATTTTTCTTCTTAACAAAAATAGCTCCATTTTAGAACCAGCATCTATCTCAGTGTACATTAAGTGGATCATGTCACTTCCTTACATTAGGATTTACCATCTCACCATCCACTTTGCTTGCAAAGGTTAAAGGTTATCATTATAATTTGAATAATGTATATACTGATCCAATCCCCCCACCTCCACAAATCCAAGCCACAAAACTAAGATTTTGATAACATGACTTATCACCAGCATCCTTCTTCTCACAGTGACAGACTAGGCAGTAAAATATTTCAAACCTACATCTGATAATTGCATACTCTGTTTAATCTCTCCTTGTTACCTTATACTTAGCAACAGTTTGTAAACCACCATAACAGCCACCAAGATTTACTTCTTTCTTCATTATCTAATGGTTAGAATTTGTAGAGAGAGTCCACTTGGCTTACAGAGATTTTCTTTGGGACCCAACTAGGATCTCTTCCTGTCATGGCAGTAAATAACCACAATGCTTTTCTTACCC